GTGTCTTAGAGAGAGGCTTTTATACCAGAACACAGCCGCTGTGACGAAACTGTGCAGAAGTCACAGAGGAGAGCCGTTAACCAATATGCAAATTAGCCTGCAGTACCACTGCTCTGCCATATGAGCAGCAAAAACACGTTTTTAGACCAAATATTACAGATTTGAACAAATACACACAAAAACATCAAAACTAGCACAAAAACAGTACTATATAACATTTTAGACACATTCTAGACAGTTTATCAGCTAAAAAAAAGTTAATTTTGGGGTAAGTTACTCTTTAAATAATTCTATTTCTCATAAAATTAATTTAAAAATTAATTACTGCAGAACATGACAATTTTTAAAAWTCSATTACTCGATTAATCGTCMGAATAATCGATAGATTAATCGACTACTAAAMTAATGTTTAGCTGCAGCCCAACACCAAACGTGAACATCACTCTTAAGCTGTCAGTACAACAACATCTACACAAAGCTCAGCCTGAAACACAACCTGTTCTTTAGTCAAGCCCCGCGTTGCTGACAGGCTGATGAACACCTGACGTAAAAACTCACCTTCTCCACGTTTTCCACCGTGAAGTCCAGGGTGTCCGGTGTGGCTGCAGTTCTTCCTGCTGTCTCCATATCTCCGCAGACACGGAGCTGTCAAACCATCAACAGACAGCACATAATGACTAACGGTTTTTCTGCTAAAAACAATGCATTTTTATATATATGTCCCTGTACAGTAAACAATGACATTTTCCACAGCAGACGGCGCGATGCTTAGGTTGGTACAGTAATTTTAATTTGTCTTATGACTGAAATAACAGGGAGCTAACGTTAGCTGTCGCTAACCTCTGCCGTAGAAAAACACTGTCACTATGCTAAGCTAGCTCTTTTAGCGATGCAACTTGACGCAGCCCTAACGCTAAACACAGCTAAACGATACAGTTCTGCTAATAGCTTCAGAGAGACAATATTATCAAAACAATGCGACCTCGGTGTGTTACAACTAGCACGTCTGGAGGATTGTCATTTCATACCTTTCTGTCCAGCGACGGTATGAGACGGTCCTAGCAGCTGCCTGCCGCCGTGCTGCTTCTGCTGCTTCGTCACTCAGCTTCTGCTGCGTTCAAGGACTGCAGGAAAAATATTATTAATGTCGCAAGAACCACAAAAATAACACATAAAACTGATTTACAAAGGTCCACAAACACTGAGACTGGGCATAATAATGACTTACGAAACAAACAAATAAAATAAGACGTTTGATTTATTAAATGTCGATTAATTAGGCTGCTCAGCATTTTTTTTAGTGCTCGCTTTTTATTTCACATGTATTCGCGGGCTCCGTTCTAAAATAATAAACCCTTGAATCCGACATTTCCCTGAAGTTTCATATTAACGCCCAACAGTTTGTAGGCTACCACTTTAAATGNTGTTTTTTTCATTACTTTTAACATATAATTTTATAAGGTTAACAGTATTTTTAATCGTTCTAATTTGGCTGGATGATTAATAACACAATGTCTGTGGTGTAAAAAACTCAGAACACGATTGTTTTTACTTTACACGGTCTTTAAAAGGTTTATAAGTCGATTTTATTTAATTTAATGCTGCCTGTATTTTATTTCTTGATAAACTTGAAACAGATGAAATGATAATTAAAAAATAAATAAATTCAAATGTATTCTGGTCTGCAGTGTGAATTGTAATAATTGTAATGATTTTTTCTCCACTTGGGGGCAGCAAAGAGTTGGTTTAAAAAACTGTCAGGCTGAAGAGAGAGTTTGATTGGATGGAAAAAAATTAAAAAGCAACAAGAAGCTCCTTTTGAGTCCTGATCTGAACATGTTTTTTTTTTCTTTGTAAACAGAAGTTGAATAAATTTCATTAAAAATGCAACATAAAAATGGTCTGAAATGACAGGATTTCTTTCTCTGTTATTCATGGGTTTTTTGTTTTCTTTTTTTAATCCATCACTCACTTCTCCTCAGTCGTGCCCCGCCCACTTCCTCCTGCACCCTGCTCCCTGTCACAGCTGCAGCCACTCCTCCTCATCAGCCAAAGCCTTTTTAGTTGCTCTTCACTGACAGAAATGGTTAAAACTGCGTTTCACTGATACTGAGCTAAAATTCACATCACATGCTGGCACTGGGACGTCTCTAAATAGGGCACAGCTTTTTGCAGAACTTTGTTTCCAGGTTTGACAAAAGCAGCTTGGAATTTTTTTCCCCCCAAGTTAAGACAAACTTATTCTAAATCTCTCCCATTAAAGGATGAGACGCAAAAGTTTTCATACATTCATGCACGTTAGAAGAGTAGGTAAAGAAATCTCTTTAAGGTGTAAAGGGCACAAAGCTTCCGACTCTGAGGGATTAAAGCTCAGGAACACCCGTCATTCGTCCAGGAAGTGCAGGTGATCCGGACAACAGACTGCTGCTGTTCTTAGAAGGTGGACGGTGTCTGTGTCTCCACTCACCCAGTGAATTTATAGCCTCGGCTGTTTGTGGAGGTTAAACCTGCTCTGATCCCTTCGCCTCGCTGTGACACCATAATGCTGGGTGCAAACAACACGAACAGAAATCCCTCATAAAAAGCTTACACCCAGGAGATTCTTAAATTAGAGATTTAGATGTCCTAAAGCCCTGTTCTCCTAATTCTTAAGTCCTTCCTTAGTCGTTCTCCTTCTTTTCTCTTTTACTGTAAAAATAAACTTGATTACTGCCAACAGACACAGCAAACATGCTCCACAACATTTGCTCCAAATCTGATGTCTACAAATAAAATAATGCTTTTTATTGAGTTTTTATTATGTTTAATGTCATGTTTTTAATGTTTTAAATACCTCATTTAATTTTTGTCTCCACAGAAAAAGATGTTTTACAATCTAATGGCAGAAATATTTGCATATCTATGTATGTATATTATTGTAGATGTCCTGATGCATATCAGTAATCCAGGTAAAAATCAAAAAGAAAAAAAATTGTATAGGTCTTCTGGACGGGTTCTTCTCTAATGAAACGTTTCGTCTCTCCTCCAAGAGACTTCTTCAGTCTGAGAGTTTCAGGCAAAATTCATGCTTTTAAGCACTGCCTCCATGTGACTGATACTCACATCACACGGCTATCGTTGACACCTAATTAACACCTATTGTTAACGGGGTGGAGTGATACTGGCAATAGCAGCACTGTAAAACAGCAAACAGCATTTGCTGTTAAGTGCCAGGAGGACTGCGAACAGTTATACATCGGGGAAACAAAGCAGCCACTGTTCAAAAGAATGTCCCAACACAGACGAGCTACATCTAACGGCCAGAAC